GGGGGTGGGGTTTCTTTAGAAAGACACACTTTACTGCATTGGCTGGGTCGAAGGTGTCCCTCTGAATCAGTGATATAACAACAGATAACATATCAAAGGCTAAAATCACTCGGTACAGTAGAAAGTTGATTTATCTCATGACGACGGGAGGTCTTTGTAAGGCAGGGGGAGAGGTAGAACAAAACCAAAAGCTGGACAGTGGAGTATCCAGTGAGGCAGAGGGTTGCGATGGATGTAAAAATGAATTGGATATAACTTCAGGGCGGGTCAAATAAAAATACAGCGGGGCGATGCCGACACAATGAATACTGAAAAGGCAAAAAATGGTCCTGTGAGAAGCCCGTGTCCACAGAGAGGCTTTTTCTCTCTTCTTTCCTCCATTGTTTCGACAGATGAGGGAAAAAGCTCTACACCCATCGTCTTATTTCTAAAAGCTCACCCTCTTTTTTTTGTGTGGCCGCTACAAACGCTCCGAGTTGATATTAACTTGACTGACTCTTCAGAAAGAAGCTATTGACGTCACTCTTGAAATTGAAGGAGAAGCTTGATTGTGTTATTCATAGAGAAACAATTATAACAAAGACGAAAAAGCGAATTTGTTGTACATGAATGTTGCTGCCAGTGAGTGTTTCACTTTCATATCGCCCTCCGTAGGATGAGGACAATCTCGTGTTCGACCGTGTCTTTCAATCGGAAACGATCATTACAAAACCCATAAAGCGAATTTGTTGCACACGGATGTTTTCTACGGTGAATGACATACGAGGATCACCCTCCGTATGTGGGGGAGAAGCTTGATTTTGACCAAGTCTTTCGGCCATTGAAAACCCCCAAAAGCTCAATTGTTTTGCATGAATGTTTTTTTTACGGTGAGCTGTAGAACCATCTGTAGAACCTTTATCTCCATCTCTTTATCGCAGATTGCCCCCCGTACGTGGAGGAGAAGCTCGTTATTGACTGCTTTCAGATGGAAGCAAACATAACAAAAACGGAAAAGCTCATTTTTTGTACATGGATGCTTTCTCAGCTAAATGTCAAACTGTTATCGTAGGACACAGACCACCCTACGTATGTGGGGGAGAAGCTCGCTTTAGACCGTGTTTCTCCATTATAAAAAAGACAGAAAAGCGTATTTGTCGTACTTAGGTGTCTTTCTCTATTGTTAGTGTTGAACTCTTATCTCCGAATGCCCTCCGTACAAAGACGAGAAGTTTGTTTTTTTACCATGGAAACAGCTAGAACTAAACCAAAAAAGCTAATTTGATGTACATTGATGTTTTCTCCGGTGAGCGTTGATCTGTACGCGGGTCGCCTTCCTTTCACGGATCTTCCAGCTGATGTCAAATGGAAAACATGTCAAAAGTTGTCGAGATATCATCCAAGAAACATTGGAAAAAGCCTCTGCTCAGTGCAGAAAAAGACGCTATGTGGACACAGGACCTACAGGGTGTCTAGTCTTTCCTACATGCATATTCTAAATATTTTAATATATATATAATCCGAATTGTTCACGGGGCGTTGGAGGGGCATGGCTGGTGATAGGCAGGTGCCACTTTCTTACAAGGAGGCCACAGCAGGTGATACTGTAGAAGAGGCATTATGGTGTTTTTCTGTCTCTTTTATATATCTATCGTGAGGTCTGATGAGTTTTAAGACGAGAGCCCTGTAGATTCACGAACACTGCACACGGGAGCGTCTCCTCGAGCGTGGACGGAGTAGATGAAGGATGTTCGGGGGGGGGGGGGGAAAAATCAGCGAGAGATGGTCGTCTCCTGAAGGCGCTGTCAGACTTTGCGATCCTGCAAAAAAATCCTGTCTTTCGCAGGCACTTCAGAGGCTGAAGGAGGGGGGGGATATATGATGGGTCAAAGGACGAACGAAAAGGTGACAGACGGAGTTAAAAGTGTGCTTTCTGCCTCCGTCCCAACACTGAGCTGCAAAGGCTGGAGCTCGAGAGTCTCTTTGTCTCGTGTCGGGACTTAAAGGACCATCACGTGGGTTCGTGAGGAGTTCCCCTTCCTCCTTACTTCCTGTTCCTACATTTCCTTTCGCTCTCTTCAGTCCGTGTGGTTGTTGACGTGCTTCCCGTCTTTTTTCTCCACCTCCTTCTCTGTTACCTCCTTCTTCTCCGATACCTCCTCCTTTCCTTTCCTCGCCCCCCCTCTTCCTTTGATCACCTTGTAGCAGCCGCGGGCGATCTTGTACATCCAGATGACGTTCAGGATGTCCAGCGCGATGCAGGAGGAGATCCACGCCACTTGAGCGGCGAGGCCCAGCCTAGTGAAGGCCTCCGTGCCGAAAGTGGCAAAGACGCTGGACCAATAGGACGGCATGACGGCGCAGCGGACCAGGAAGAAGACGGCCGCCATGGCAACGCCGTTTATAACGACGAGGCGGTTAGAGCGAGGGTACTTTAACGCCTCGAAGAACCACCTGCAGGGAGGAAGGGGATTTTGTTATTGATCATTTGTAAATTCAACATATTTTTTATTTTTTTCTATCTTTAGCCGTTCATTGTGTCTTTAAATTAATTCAAAAATAGATTAAAAAAAGTTTATATGATTACATTTGTTACTTTTGATTAAAGTAATTTGTTATTCTAAAAATGGAGCAATATTCACTCGACACAATTGAAGTAAATCAAGTATTTTGATTATGATCCTAATTACTTTCCCCTCAATTTTCGCTGCAGGACTTTTCGTTTTGACAGACAGAAATAGAACACTTGTTGCTATGCATTCTGGGATATGTTGACAAATAGAGGGTAAAGTGATGCTGACTCACCTTTGGTTCACAAACGGTGTGGACAGCTCTGAAATGAGGCGGAAGTTTGCAAAGTAGGGAAGCACGCCTCGAGTCTGCAATCAAATCAAACTTTACTTATAGAGCACTTCTCAAACAAACACGGTAACTCAAAGTGCTTCACAAACCGAACACAGAGAAAATTTACAAAACGTAAACAACAACAATACTATCTCCCCCTTCCCAGGGAGTAACCAGAGTAACACATAGCTTTGTGATTATGACCTTAAACAAAGAGAGAGGAACAATTAAACATTTGGACATTGGAATAGTGTCATGTCTCCAATTGCTATCTAAGTCAATACAATGGTCAGAGGTGTAAAGTAACTAAGTCCATTTACTTAAGTACAATTTAGAGGTACTTGTACTTTACTTGAGTATTTCCATGTTATGCTACCCTGTACTTCTACTCCACTACTAGGCTTGGGCGGTATGACGGTATTACGGTATACCAGGGTATTTCGAAATACCGTCGGTATGATTTTCAATACCGTGACGTCACAGACTGTGCGCCAAATCACAGATGCGTTTCATTCTATTACACTGACACGGAGTTTTGATAGGGACGACATTGGTTGTAATGCACAGCACGCGCCAGCAGAGGGCAGGGGAGGGCAATCCGTCTTTCCCGCTCTCAGAGCTCAGCACAGAGCTGAGCTGAGCAAGATGGCGGCAGCATTTGCCGGCCCCGAACTCGGACAACTAGTAAAAAAGAAAAATGCCTCTGCGCCTGTTTGGGACTATTTTGGGTTTACTCGTCGCCAGTGACTTCATCCAGCACAACGAGAGACAGAGGCACTTCTTTGGGAATGTTTAAGACAGGGTGAGTGAGTGTTGACATGTTTTAATCCTATGCAACTGGTTGATGGTTTTGTAGTGGAGGTCGGACGGTTTTAAAAACGAAAGCATTTACGTGCTAAACATTCACGCGAGTAATCCAATGAATCAAATGAGGACAGGAGTCGGTGGACACCGACAACCGCGTGATTGACCTCCTTCTGTGCTACCCACTCGCCGCAAGAACGACGGTGGTGAACCGCCTGCCGACATACCGTATGCCTTATCAAGGACCAGCTCAATCTAGTGCAGCAAGTCTTAATCGTCACCACTTTTGAGTCCCCCATCTCGCTCGCAGAGCCAAGCTTATTTGGACATATGATCAAAGAAAAAAATTTAGCAAGTTGATGTGTGACGTTCGTTCACTGGCCCGAAATAACAGTCCATTTATGATTAATGGTACACAGTCTCCACTCCTCTCGTGAGTCTGGAACACTAACCCCATTTTTCTCTTCATGAGCCTAGGGCACATGAACGTCATTCTGTCATCTTCATGAGCCTAGAACATGAAATTCATTGTCCTCATCTTCATGAGGCTAGAACAGTGAAAGTCATTTTCATCTCATGAACGGCGTAGAACATGAAATCATTTTTCTATGCTTCATGAGTTCTAGAACATGAAGTATTTCTCATCTGTGTTCATGAGTCTAGAACATGACACTCATTTCATCGTTCATGAGCGTCTAGACAACTGAAATCATTGCTTCATCTTCAGAGTCTACGAAGACATGAAGAGTCACAGTTCTCATCTTCATGGTGCTAGCGGAGACATGAACCTCATTTTCCAGTCTTCGGATGAGTCTAGAACATGAACTCATTTTCCATCTCTCTTGGTCGTCACCATCCTTACTGAGACAATGGTCATTTGTCAGGACGTAAGTTTTCCACAAGGAGTGCAGTTCTCATCTCTTTCATAACGAGTGAGTTTGTTAGATCACTTCACGCCTCCTCGTCTTCTCCAGGGTAGCACCACCGTCTAACCACGGGTAAAGTCTTATATATACTTCCGCCACGTACTTACAAAATTATTACTAACTAGTACTTTCACCAAGAGGTTGTCGACAATTCCGCTCGAGTCAACCTTACTTAACAACATATCGACGTCCCTCGCAACACCTAAAATGAGGTCCTTGATTTCAGACTAAATTGGTGCAACTAATATGAAAGGTGTAGTACAGTAGGTGTAGGACATTGTCATGATTTTCCATAATTTCATGTGTGGAAGCCTTTATCCGAACCCGCCCCATAGTAAAAAAGGTATGGCAGTATGAACGACTGGAGTATGGCCACATATGCGCCAGTAACTGGCCATACTAACCCAGCTCGAACTCCGCTCCACCGTAAGCCCGCGTTTATCTACGAAAGCTTGCCATGATAACTATACCCAAGCCACATGTTTACGTCGGGCTCGTGCCATCTCGCGAGCGTTTCACGGGCGCTGTTCGCGCGTCACGTTTGTTCCCGACGGTATGTACTGTGTAACGACGTTTACCGTGTACAACTCTAGCTACAATGTCCTGCCGCAAAACATTGCTACAGCGCTTCACCAAAGGGGTAACAACTTCGATTGAATTGTATGATAGTAGTATGTATTGTGGAAAAGGCCTTCATCTTATGAACTGACATAACTTATTTCAAACGATATAAGTGATTGATTCAAACCGTTTATAATAAGGCACGTAACAAGTTTTT